GGTTATATCGCACGAGTTAAATCAGATCATGTATATTAATTGTATATAATTAAAAAAATTTTTTAACCAACAACTGCTTTGCCACGAATAATATTCGTTCACGAATATTATTTTAAGATCATCAGTTCTTTCTATTCAATTCGCTGTTAATAGCTGACCGACAGGCTAATCTACAGTTTGTTGGAAAACGTTGTGAAACTGAAATACGACTACAAGTCATAATAAGGCAAGATTTTTCTTGAATCCTCAATTTGGGGAATTCTTCATTCTTATATTTCGTACATTTACACACATATTGAGTGTATACAATTTGTACGCTTATCGGAGCATGTCCAAGATGTTTCCTGTCTAAATATAATGACTATTGATTAATAGTAAAGTACTGAAATATGCATGTCGAGGGAGCTAGATACCTACTAATTTTATCTTTGTGTACAGTCTTGTCAAAAAATTGGTTCAGTCCTATGGCCAGTGGCTTTTAAAAATTTTTTACAATTTTATAACAGTTTGTAATACGTACCTAGAAAAAAATTTATATATGTATACATATTTCCGGATATACATACTCTTAAAAGTCGCCAGAAGTAATTAACATCAGTGATTTTTATTGACCGTATCTGGCAATTTTTATAATACAGAAAATTTATTACCTCAGCCCAGGGTTTGAACCTGGCTCCTTCCTCCCTTCTCTCTAGGCAGGCGTCTCAATTATATGAAAAAATTCTGAGTTTTAAAAAATTCGAAGTTTTATATGTGTTAGACTTACAAGATTCAAGTAAACTTACAAGTTTACAAGACAAGACACCAAATTCAAAAATCGGAATTCTACTTTGCAAAATTTTAAGGTAGAGTCCAAATGAGGTAAATCAAAAAGCTACTTAAGCCCGCTGCAGACGATGCTATTTTTCCTGCTGGATTGCTTGCGATTTAGTAAATTACTATCGTTGCACCACTCAGCACTCAGGATTCCTAGTAGTTTAGTAAATTGCAAGCAATCCAGCAGGAAAAATAGCATCGTCTGCAGCGGGCTTTATTACTACTTAACCTGCTGGCAACACTACAGGAACCTAACTCGATCCTTTTGTCGTTTCTACCGAATCTCATTTGGACCCTACCTTAAAATTTTATAAGATACGGTTCTTGGACCGTATCTTATAATTTGATAAGGTAGGGTTCAAGTTTGGTATTTTCACCGCAAGAGCACTCACCCCAACTCGATTCTAATGCGGCATCTACAATGCAAGTCGCAGAGTCGTAGTCGTAAGAATAATCGACTGCGATTGGTCAATTCCGTCAGACACATAAGAATTGACCAATCATAGTCGATTATTTTTACGACTACGACTTTACGACTTCTATGTAGACGAGGCTTAATAGTCATAGGCCGGTATTCACAGTTGATTCTTATTTCAAAATCATTTTAGGGCAACTTTCACCAAGCTCCGGTTAACCCAACCGGTCTAGTAACATGCAGGATTGCAACCGAATCTGATGAGAAATCTGATGAGAATCTGAGAAAATATATCAGATTCGGTTGCAATCCTGCATGTTACTAGACCGGTTGAGTTAACCGGCGCTTGGTGAAAGTTGCCCTTAGTGTTGTCTTATCTCTGGTCCACAATCTTGCTTTAAGTAAGCTGTAAGCCTTAAGCCGTAAAAAATTAACCAATCACAGGTGGGAGCGAGGGGAATAAATGCCTATGATTGGTTAATCTTTTACGGCTTAAGGCTTACAGCTTACTTAAGCCCGGGTCTACAGTAGGTGTAGTAAGCCTTAAAGCCGTAAGAAATTGATCAATCACAAGCGATTGTTCTCCTCACTTCAGACTGTGATTGGTCAATTTCTTACGACTTAAGGCTTACTACACCTATTGTAGACCCGGGCTAAAGCAACATTGTGGACCAGGGGTTAAGGCTAAGTCCCAGTCTACAATAGATGATTTAAGCTCTAAGCTTTAAGAAATTGGCCAATCACGGTCAAGTATGAGAAGAATGCGCGACTGTGATTAGTCAATTTCTTAAGGCTTAGGGCTTAAATCTCTATTGTAGACTGGGACTAATACGACTCTGTGATTGGTTAAAAACACATTAAGAGTATACTTAAGATGATTTTAAATATAAGAACGGACTATGAATTTTTTCCAAGGGTTGCTTTCGCGAGAAGATCAAAATGATCCAGATTATAAATGACCATGTGCTACGATTGGTGAAATCTGGAATATCACCGAATAAAATTTCAATGTAGTGCTATAAAATTTCAGATTTGACCACTTCCTTGTGCATTTGCTTATAGACCAATCAAATTCGTTATGCTCATGCCTATGCAAAAGTGTACACGCACCGGCATAAATGCTGTCCCTATCCTTGTGAGGTGCACGCACACAACTAGAGTCCCTGTAGTTGTGTGCGTGCACCTCACAAGGATAGGGACAGCATTTATGCCGGTACGTGTACGTGTGGCTCCCCGCTTTATGATCGAGCCCCTAGAATAGAATGTTGCTGGCCCTGCGTCAGGTATTCGAAATTTAAATTATTTCCACTCAAGTAAATTCTCGAACGAAGGTAGCTACAAGTTTTCTTCTACCTATAGATCTTGTTTTCCGTTGCTACACTGGTGAACTGGTGCAACAAATTAGAGTAAGACAAGTATATATGTTTCTCATTCTGGCTTACTACACTAGTTCACCAGCGCGGCAATAGAAAACGAACCTTACAATCAACTTGAAACGTGATCGTAAACTTTTGCGCATGCCCTCCATCTAGTGTCCCTTTTTTTCTCGACGACGCGCGAGTCTCTGCGCTCTCTGCGAGGACACGAGGGGAGAATTAGCGAGCTCGGCAGAAATTTATACACGGCGCCATATTACATCATTCCTGAAACGCGAGCGATTAGGAGGCTACACACAGGCTACACGAACCGATACGATCGGACAGTTCGAGTGAGACGAGAGCGGCTTGACTCGTGGAAATTATTCGTTTTTATGAAGAGAAGCGCCACCAGGTAAAGCGGAACAGCGTGAGACTGCGCACGTGATAGAGAACATTTTCCTTCCTCCCGTAATCGCGAGCTTTTTCTTACTTCGAGGCATCTAAGAGCGCTTTTCGTCCCGTCCGACACGCCCTAACCTATTTCCTGTGCTAGCGGCGTGCGTCTAATCTAGTGAGCTTCTCTCGGACGCTTCTCGCACACTGTCCATAGCCCGCCGAAGAGTAACATCACGAAAATTGCTCCCGCATGCTGCATCAGCTTTGCATGTGAGTCTTCGCGCCGAAAGGCCGAGCGCATTTCCAGTTATCCTCTCGCAAACGTTTCGCGCTCGCCTTGCACCTTGTTGCTTCGCCTTCGAGATACTCCCTCACGCGCCATTAAAAACGGCTTCCCTCAAACTTTCATCAAATTTTCTGTCATCTTGAAACGAGGCTCGAACACGTGCTCCTCGAACTAGTCTCGCTCGTGCCCTTCTGAGGTTGGATTTATTTTCCGTGTGTAGTTTTTTTCAACTGTTAATTGCACTCGTTGGCAAAGGTCTCTAAGCTGCAAATAAATGAATACGTTCTGAGATTATGCGAGCTTCGCATCTTGCTAGATTCTGTTTTAATTTGAGTTAATTTCTCTTTTTCGCAAGAAGTAGTTTCAATGATTAAATTAACCGCAGATTAATGTTATTAAGGCTCGATTTCACCAAACGTAGCTTAACTTTAACCTTAGCTCAATTCATGTTTGCCTCTTTCTGAAGTAACAGTTGGAAAGAGCCAAAGAACGGATTAAACTAAGCTTAAACAACCAGTTTCCAGATAGCACACATAGTGCATTATAAAGATAAAAGAAGATAATAAGATAAAGTAATGCCCACTGGGCATTAGTGGGCATTGGTGTACAAGATTTTGGCCAGCGGTTTGCCCCTCGCATAACAAAGAAGAACGTTTTCAGAATGTTCGTCGCGAATGTCTTTGGAATATTTGTTCAGAATAAATTTTTAGCATTCATCGAGTTTACGTATTGCGCATTGTTTATTGTGTAATACACTTATCTTATGCAAAAGGCAGCGAAGCCTGTGATCATACCATGTATAACCGACACGCTATATTCAATAGATTATTCCATTCACGTTTGAAAAACATTTATACTAGTGCCAGTCGAATATTCTATGAACATAAGATAAATCGAGACGGGAAACTTACAGTCAACCCAACTGGCTAATTATTTAATCGATTTATTACACAATGATACAATGATACTAAGTCAATCATCGTCGTCGAATAAGACAGAGTCGAGCTATAAAATATATGTATACATGTGAGCACTGTGGTAGTTGGGCTCGAACGTAAGATAAATATATTAGAATGGCCTATGGGATGTTCCAATTATTCTTGAAGAATATTCTCAAAATATTCATAGGAGTGTCTTGTGCTATCTGGGTTGGTGAAACTGGGCCTAAAGGCCCGTGTCCACGATGCTAGAACTTGGTCC